GCCATTTTCTTGAATATTGGCTGCAGGTACACTTTGTTGCTTTTGCCCCCAGAGCGCTGCTGCCGGCCCCTCCAGGGCCAGCGGATTTCCTGTGCTGAGATCAAGGATCCCTTTATCTACAAACCCATCCTGATTGCTGTGGGGATGAGGTTCCTGCAGCAGCTCTCTGGTGTCACCTGTATCCTCGTGTACCTGCAGCCAATATTCAAGAAAATGGCCGTCATCCTGGTGAGCCCCTGTGCAGCCCAGTGCCCTGCCAGCAGAGATATCTGCCATGTCCCATGCAGATCCAAGACCCCGACCCTGCAGCCTGTTTTGAAATACCTGGTTGGCAGGTCTCCCATCTCAGCTTCTCCATCACTTTTGCTGTTGCAGAAACCAGAGTATGATGCAGCTCTCGTGGGCCTGGTACGGCTGTTCTCAGTGGCAATCGCTGCTGTGTCAATGGATAAAGCTGGGAGGAAGATCCTTCTCTTTGTATCGGGTATGTCTCTCTCAGAGTGTGCAAAGGAATCTTTTCTCTAGGGATTTCCAGTGGCTTTGTAAACGTGCAGGAGTGGAGACTTCCACCATGCAGGACTGTGGAAGGTTGTTTTTCCTTTGGCAGAGGCTCAGCTCCAGAGCATCACATCCAGAACCGTCACACAGATTGCTCTCCCTTTCATCCTTCTGCACTGTTGCATCTCTCCACAGCTGGAGTCATGTTGGCCTCCAACCTGACCATGGGGCTCTACATCCACTTTGTGCCATCTTCTGAGAACAGCACCACTGCCAACAGGACCCTGGGGAGCGTTGCCAACCCTCCTGCTGAGCCCATCCACTACATCACCCTCATCCCCCTCCTGGCTGCTATGTTCTTCATAATGGGTAGGTGCACAGAGCAAGAGCCCAGGGCTGGGTATGAGCCTGGGGGCATGTTTCTCTTCTTGGACAACATGATAAGGAGCAAAGAGATCTGGGCTTGGGGTTGAAAGGGACACAGATCTCCCTGGCAGGCTAAGATGGCATCTGCAGTCACTTTCAGGATTGGTGGAGTATGTACGGTGGGGAATAATGATGGACTGGTTGAGGTGGGATTGTGCTGTGCTCACCTAATGGGCTCTGAAGCCTCACGACTTCGTCCCCTGCAGGCTATGCCATGGGCTGGGGGCCCATCACCTGGCTGCTGATGTCAGAAATCCTCCCTCTGAAAGCCCGTGGGGTGGCATCGGGCCTCTGTGTTGTCGTGAGCTGGGTGACAGCCTTTGCCCTGACCCAGCTCTTCCTTGGGGTTGTGGTGAGTACAGCCCTAGAGGCATCCAGGATCTCTTCTTTGGAGTCTCTTGCACCAGCTCACGTCCGCTTTCTGTCTCACTTTCCAGGAGTCCTTTGGCCTCGAGGTGCCGTTCCTATTCTTTGCTGTCATCTGCGCTGGGAATATTTTATTTACAGGCTGTTGCGTTCCAGAAACCAAACGGAGATCCCTAGAACAGATTGAGGCCTTCTTCAGGACTGGTCGGAAATCATTCTTGAGATCGTTCAGGAGGTAGGAGCTGCTGGCTGCACCAAGCCATGTGCTCAAGGGCCAGAAAGAAAAGGGTTGTGCTGATAGAGATGGAGCCTGGAGACCTCTGCAAATATGGCGTTCCCCCACAAAGGGGAGAGAACAGGCAGCAGTGACTGTATTGCTTTGGGTGTTGAAATTGCCAGCTGAAGCTTCTAAGATATTCTCACCCCAAGTCCTTCAGCGCTACGTATGGCTCTCCAGGCAGCGCATCAGCACGAGGTATAGGACCACAGAACCAGCAACAGGCTGGATGTGAAGCTGTCCTGGAAAATACCAGGTGTGGCTGTGGACACAGAGCCACTCAAGCAGCCCGAGAGCCCCGGGCTTTGGCTGGAACAGAGTTAACATCTACTGCTGTCCTGGTGGGCACTCAGCGTGTAGTTGCAAGAATAAAACTGTTTCGCCTCCAACTGCAAGACGTTGCTTTGAATTGCAGAGAAGAGCTGCAGGTGGGATGGGAGAGGCAGGCAAGGGCTGTGAGGGGGGGAATCACAGCTTCCTGCTGCCTCCCAGGTGAGTCTCACTGCTTGAAGTCTTCAAAAAAAGGCAGAGCCCGATACGTTGTATAAAAAGCTGCCACATTTTATTGCTCTAAAAACACGTTACACTAGAAGCCTAATGAACAAGACCAACCACGGTTCACAAAGAAAACTCAGGACAAAGCACAAAGACTGGGAACAGACAGACATTCAGCTGTAGTGCAAGTGATTTCCTGCAGGAAAGACACGGTTGGTACAGACAATGCTTTGTAGTGGGGCAGGTCCTTCCCTCCCCAGGGTTTTACAAAGAAGGAAGGTGGATGTGCCTCCATCACAGCTGTGTGTAGAGCCTCCACCTCCACCACTTTGAGATTTCAGCTGCATAGATAGTAGCAAATTGCTCTTACCCCTTTCCTGATGTCCTGCGTGGCTAAGGTCTTATTTAAAGTAAAGCACAGTGCAAGAGGTGGTTATGGCTGTGAGGAACAACTGGCCTTGCTGAGAATTGCCTGACCTGGCTCTCCCCATAGGGGCAGAATGACATAACAACATGCCCTGAGCCTGGGGATCACCTGCCCAAGCACTTGTCAGCCTGCTGAAATGCACAGGGCGAGCTGAGAGCCGTGGATAAGCTTGTACCCTCCCTTCCTGCCAAGGTATCAGGAGGCAGTGCAGAGCATGTGACTGAGATCTCAGGAACTACTAACTGCTTTTAGATCCCCTGCAGCAGGAGGTGCATCTCACCCAAGGGAAGATGTGCTTTATCAGAGGGTTAATTTAAAGCAGCCAAGGACAGAGGAAGAGAGATGGGCCAAAATCAAAACACAGCATTTTCAGTATTAAACTCAACCTTTACAGCTGAGACCCATTTCCAGAAAGATGTCCAGTCCTGGCTGGAGCATTACTGTTTCTGTGCATGGCCTGAGATCTCAAGAGCCTCTGGTTTCCACTGACCTTCAGCAGATCAGGCTCTCTGGCAGCCCTGTCCTACAGCATTCTCCTCCTCACATGGCTATGGACCAGGTCTCGATATCCTCACTTCAGTGAAACCTTTCCCTGCAGACAGTGGATGTTTTTTCTCCTGAGGAAAAAGAAAAAATGACAAAGATGAATTGAGCTTCCCAGGGCCAAAGGAGGAAGTGCCCAAATATGAATCGATGCTGGGCTCTCCAGGTCCTGAGAGAACCTCATTGGAGAAGTGTTTGCTGAGTGACCTTCTTTCTTCCATACAGAAAGTCTGAGGGTTTTTGCTGCATTTGGATTGAGAAATCACAGTGGCTCTTTCCAGAGGTAGAATGGTCTTTTTATTCACTGCACACACAGAGGATCAATTTGCTGTTACAAAATCAGCTGCTGCTTAGAGCAGCAAGGTGTGGGCATACAGCAGAACGAGAGGTTCTGCTCTTTGCATGCCCAGTGGAGAGCCCTTGGGAACCTGGAGCACAACTGCAGCACTTTTTGTGACTAAATGGAGCAGTTGCACGCTGTATAAATGTGCTTGGTAAGAGAAGTGCACAGCTCAGACAGGAATGGTGTAACAGTCCATTTCCAAGTGCGTATTTATTGCCAGTACCCGGCTGTCTTTCCATACTCACTGCAGTCAATGTATCACCTGCTCCTGAGGTCTCACGTAACAAAATTTCTGTCCCATCCTCCCCTCAAAGTCCTCTCCGAGACCTGGCAAGCAGTACCTCACCCATGGATGCCCCTTACCTGCACTGAGCTGAGCCTACCAAATCACTGCAGTGGTGCTTTTCACTTCCTTCATTCTTGCACAGCTCCAAGCACCCTAATGGTGCCTCTAAACACAACTAATAACCACCATGCACTGTGAATGGGCACGCTAACTACTGTGATACTACTACTCTAAAAGTCTTCCTATTGCCACTAAAACAGCCTCTCACCCAACACTGAGGAGAAACCATCCATTAACACTCCACCACTCCTGAAAGCCATGGGTGCAGCATGCAGATTCCACCAGGCTGTGGCCACAGCAAGAGCAGCACCTGGTTTGTGTTCTGCTGCACCACAGCCAGCAACAGTTCCCAGGAGCACGCACTGCAGATGTGCTCACCCTGATACTGCTGCCTCTGTCTGCAATGTTCCTCTACCAAATGCTACTAAACTACTGAAAACCCCCTGAAATCAAATGTGGGTGCTCTGCCCATTGGGCAGGGTGCTGCTCTGCAACCACTCCACAATGCTGCACATGGATGCAAGGAGCAGAGAGGCCTTGGCTACTAACAGGGGTCCCTGCACTCCCCTCACAGCAAAGGCAGCATGGCAGTTTGCAGTCCCTGTGCACACATACACAGACAGAAAGCCAACACCCCACATACTGCACACATCCAAAGGACCAGCCCAGAGCTGGGGGGCTCTGAAACAGCAAAACTTTTATTAAACCACGTTGCATCTGGGCTGCCAGTTCTGTACCCCAGACAAGCTGGTGTCAGAGCAAATACAGCACAGAGGCCCGGGGGGAAAGGGCTTAGCACAAAGCAGCTGCCCAGCAAGGCCCTGCATGTGCAAATCAACTCGCACCAGATTCCTGCCTGGTGCAAATCTTCACACCTCCTTGAACTCCAGCAAAGAACCAACAAGGAGCAGTCGCTGACAGCTTAACCCCCCAGCCTCCAGGGACAGCACTGCTCCTGCTGCAATGCCCACACGCACCAGTGCCCTCCAGCAGCAGCTCTCCCAAATTGCAGGGTGACCCCCCACCCCGGCACCCCAGTAACACAAAGGGGATCCTGAGGTGCCAGCAGGCAGCAGGCGTAGGGCCAGAGCTGCTGCCTATTTCCACTGAGCACCAGGCCCAGCAAGGAGAGCCATCTCCTGTCACTGCAATCAGACAAAGGGATCAAAGGAAGGACAGCACGCTTTCCAGAGACCCCTGAAATGAGATGATGCACTCTGATGAGTCTCATCAAAATACTTAAATAAGCAGAAATAAATTATTCTCCCTTCTCCTAAGTAAAACAGATGGCAATCAAGTAAAAACAAATAAATTAACCCTTCCCCTCCCATCCCCCAAAAGAAACTGTGATGGGAGGTGGGGGATCTGGACCTGATGAGCAGTTCTGCTCGGCCTCAAACAAAGCAAACAGAATCAGCACTGCTGATGGTGCTTGGAATAAAGCGGCACCCCACAAAAATGGGATTTTCCTGTTTGCAAAGCAAGGATTTGCCTCCTTCCCATACAAAAACCAGCCCGGGCTGATGCAAAAAAGCATGAGCTCAATGAGAAAGGCTGTACAGACAGAAGCCAAGGGCTGGTCCCACGCTCAGAACAGACTGCAGGAGCAGACACAGGAAGTGAGAGAACAGAGCAGTGTCTGTCTGGGCTCAGAGGGGACTCACTTGCACATTAGCAACCATCCCACCTGCAAACAGCCTCCATTTGCCTCAAGCAACACAATGCCTTTTCAGCCTTGCTTCTCTTCTTGCCCAGTAAAAGAGTGAAGCTGAAGAAAAGTACCCTTATTAAGATTACATAATTAATGCTGATAATTCAAGTAAATTGCATTATCTGCCTGAAGCTGTATCCAGAGAAAGGGCAGACTGTGCTTCTCTCCTCTGGAGGCATCACTGTCTTCATGCTTGGCTTTTTTTTTTTTTTGCTGGAAGTCCTTTACTGTGCAAAGATGCCTCCAATGTCTGACCTAACTGGACCCATATTAAAACCTGCATGATGAAAAACACCAAGTGCAAGCATCAGCAGGTACTGCTAAACACTGCATTCTTGTTTTATGCCCAGAAAGAGCCACACCAGAGTGTGCTGCATTAAATGTGTAATGTGCAGCAGCACCCTGGGCATGAGATCTCTGGAGCCAAGGAGCTCCAAGAGCAGTCCCCAGAGAGTGTGCTGCCCACACACAGTCCCCAGCAAAATGTGATGGTCATTAAAACAGAGAAAGGCTACGTATTTAGGCTTGTACAGCAGCACACAAAGGGCCAGCACCTCTGCCAAAAAAAAAAATAAATAAATAAATAAAAGAAAGAAAGAAAGAAAAAGAAGGACCATGAGATATTTGGTTCTGAGTGGCGGGAGGAGGGAGCAGCCAAAGCACTGAGGTCCAAGTGCTGGTGTGTGAGGGGGGCACAGCCCACCCCAGCCCTGAGAGCTCCAGTTGTTGCCGTAGTGTCCAGGGAAATCATGGAGTAACAGAGAGGGGGTGGGCAGATGGGAGGGCAGAGTGGGTTCCCAAATCTTCACCACCATCTCAGGGTCCAAAAGGTCGCCCAGGGCTCATGAACTTCACAGAGCCTGTCCCTCCAGGCATCCTGTGAGCTTCTCTTCATCCATTTGCTTCTGCTGCTGGTGGATCCGAGCGTAGGAAATGGCATCTCCCCTGCAGAGAGAAGGGACATCAGGGTGATATGAGCACCAGGCACCTGTCAGATCAGTGCAGCACACAGTACAAATGTCTCCCAGCTTGTGCCAAGGCCTCTCCATACCAAAGTGACAACAGGAATGAAATGAGACTTGCTGGCCCTCCCCAGCCTCACCCCAGCTGGGACATGAAGGTTTTCCTGAGGCAACCTACACTGAGCTCCCAAGGAAAAAGCTCAGAGGTTCAGCAGACCCCCAGACCTTCTTTCACAGGGTTTTGTTTGAAGAGAAAACACGCCAGCAGGGACATACACACCCAAAAGCATGGTTGATACAAGAGGAAAGCACAGCCTTCCTTAGAGCTGGGGCAGCAAATGGGGCAGGACTGGAGGTCCCCTTCTCAAGCAAGCAAATCTTACTTACTTCTTGCCAAGAGCTGACAGGCCATAAAGCACCCCGGTCGCAAACGCAATGGCATTTCCAAAGAGCGTGGTGAGCGTCAGGCTGAGAATGACAGGGAACACGGCCATCCTGGAAGAGAGACGCGGCCCTGGGGTGGCATGGGGACACAGCACCCCACACACCCAGCACACCAGCCCTGGCAGCATCCTCACCCGCAGTAGAAAGCAGCTTTCTGCCAGGCCCGCAGCTTGTCTGCCCTCGAAGACACGGCGTTGGCGAACTCGATGAACTGGCAGCAGAATGGAGCCTCACACAGGAACAGGACGAAGGCGTTCAGCCTCCAGGGAGAGCACATGAGAGTTAGTGCTGCCTGCAATGGGGTCAGCCAGCCAGCCCCCAGTCCCACCGATGCTCCAGAGTGGGCAGAAATGTGTGGCAGGGCTGGAACCTGCTTCATTCTCTCCCATTCTCGATAATTCCCAAACCTTGATCCTAGATTCCAGCCATAAAAGGGGTGGGGAAGGGGGTAGGGAATAGACAGGGCTATGAATAAAAAGAAAACACCGTCTCCACCCAGCTAGTCAAACAAGACCCAGTGATTCACAGATAGCAGCATTTCACCCCAGCTCCCCGTGCCTCAGTTCATAGAGCCCAATGGACAGAACCTCCCTCCCAGTGGTAAAAAAGAACAGAAACTCCACTTACATCATCCACACACCGGCTGCAATGTTCAGTGGGTTGATGGTAACACAGTTCCAGAGACCAGCAACAGCACAGGCTGGGAAAGAACAGAGACTTTCATTGACACAAAGAGCAACCCAGTGTGCAGTGAGACCAGGCTGTCACCTCTGCAAGATAGGGTTTTCTGTGCAAAGGAATTCCTGCTTTGTCCCAGGATGAAGAAAGAGGACCCTGCAGGCACACATGTCTGAGCAGCACAGGGAAAAACTCAGGAAAAAGATAAAAAAAAAAAGACTTGCAGCACCGAGGTGTTAGGGCTGAAAACAGAAAAGGAGAGGTGAACCCCATCACAGCCACAATCTCCTAGTTCTGTGCCTCACTACTAGAGATGGGCCAAAAAATGCCAAGTCTGGGTCTCCACGTATTCAAATGGAAGTGGATGCTGACTAAAGCAAGGCTCAAAATAGCTCTGTGCTCCTGAATTTGTAATGCAAGGAGGGGAACCAGCCAGCAGTATCCACACACCTGCCTCCTGCCTCATTAAACTTGCAAAGCATTCCCTGCACTTGATATGGCTGCTCACCCAGGAACCTGATTCCCCAGTAAACAACAGCACAGCACAAAACACCAGCTAAAATCTTACAGCCTTTAAGCTTTCCTGGGATGTGGAGCTGAATAATGAAGAGAGCAAGCAGCATGTCTCTGAGAAGGAGAGCAGCCTGGATGCAGGAAGTTTATGTTCACATGTGTTTTGCTAAGGGAATCCCTGTGCAAGGCTGATCTGAGCAGTTCTGACCTTCACATGCCTGGCACATGTTTGCAAGATTTCTTCTAAGCAGTCATTGCTGAATCCTCAAGGTTCCCTTATATACCATACTGAGAAACAGAGCTGCATGCCTAGGACCAGTGTAAGGTCATCCCACAAGCAAGCAGACTCCTATTTCTGCAAAACAACAACACAACTCTTATTTTTTAAAGGATTCTTAGGTCTACCCCATAGAACTCAGGGAGTCCTGCAAGAGCAAGGTTTTAACAGAGCACAAATGCCAGAGAGCACGCTGCCAGCCATGCTCCAACAGCATCTTTCATCCTCCCATCACAAAGGGACAGTGTCAGTGTCCCCACACTGCAAGGAGAAACTGTGGCACGAGGTTGGGATGATCTGCTCACAGTCACACATGCAAACAGCTCGAGAGTTGGCAAAGCAAGCAAGCAGTACTGCAGGGAGCAGCAACAACACGTGGAGTTTTCTAACTCTTCTCTCTGATCAATGAACTCTTGGATGCTCATGGAAGGAGAGCTCGGGATTTTTGTCCTTAGTCCTTTCTTTTTTATCTAGCCAATCAGCCCTGTTTTGTCCCCAAACATCCCCAAACAACCCCCTGAGCAATAAGGTCCTTGCAGGAACCCCAGCTAAGAGCTCAAATCTATTTGCCAATGGACCCAGCAAGCCTAAGCCGAGCAAGCCCCTATGTCAGCACAAACACCAACCAGAGAGGAAGGAGTCAGAGCTTTGTAAGCACAGGAACACTGCACTCGATGGTGGTTGCCAACAGCCAGAGATAATGATTTGGTGACCTTGGCTCTCCTTTGCAGCACAACACATCCTGCAGCAGCCTGGCACTTCCTGGTCCTGCTGGGTGGAATCAGCTCCTGCCTCCATAGCCAAAAGGGGACAGAGCTGCCAGCTCAGTGACTTCTTTTTGTAAAACAAAGGCTCAGAAGAGACATAAAATTTAGATAATGCTCGATGGCACGTAAGCTATGGAAGACAGTCCTGCCATTTGTTTAACAGCCGTCCCATCCTGAAAGCCCTGGGGGAGAACAAATAACTGGGAGCTAAAATGAGGAAGAAGAAAAAAAGAATACCCCCCACAAAGACTCTATTCATTCCAAGCAGCTGGTCACTGTCTTCAGTGCAACTCTATTTTTGCTCCTGGAGCATTTTACAAAAGCCACAGACTCTCATCCTTTTACAAACGGGAACAGAAGGGGGAGAAGGGACTCTGCCAAGGTCACCAAGCAGTCTGTGCAGGAGCCAGCAGCAGATCCAACGTTTGCCTTGTTCCTGCTCCAGTCCCTGCACCTTCCTGACTTGATCCTGTGGGCCACAGGTGTTTGCAAGCGCCAGGCGTTGCCTCCCACTGCTAACAAAGTTTCTCATCCTTCCTGCAGGGAATTTTTCATTCTGTAAGAAACATCCCAGCTCTGCAGCAGCCACAATCCAGCTGCCCAAACTCCTCGTAAATGAGTTCTGTTCCTCCGGAGAAACAAGAGGCAAAGTGCAACCTCGCAAGCTGTTATCTGCTCCTTGATCCAGCTGTCCAGCTCCAGCAAGGTGACCCGGACAAGGAGCGTGTTGCAGTCTGCACTGCAGGATTGCTTTCTTCCATGGCATCCCTTTCCCTGCTCCTAACAGCAGCCATATCCACAGCTGCCATGGTCTGGACAGCCCTGGTGGAGGTTCCTGATGCCCTGAACTACTGGCAGCCCTGTGGACGGCTGCTTCGCCCAGAAACACCCACAGATGTAAAACTCCTAGAAAACAAGCCAGGAGTTCGGCGTAGTTGTGAACAAAAGGTTGTGAAAAGAATCCAAGCATAACTCAGCTGCTTCGAAAGCTGAAGATAGAGGGGGGAAAAATTGATTTCAAAGCGCTGTGCTGCTGCTAAGCCAGGGTTGAGCTGCTCTGGCACACGGGGTGGGCCAACAGCCGCCATGTTCGGCTCCTCACCCCTCATCCTCACCCCACGAGGGAAAAGGCCACATGAAGGGTGATAAGATTCTGGTTGCAGCCCCAGCCCATGGCAAAGCTGCTGCTCTGGGAGCTGCCCTCCAACGTGTCCTATCCAGCCTCCTGCCTCCATTACAGATGTGGGGCTGGAGCGGCCTCAACCACAGTCACAGTGCCCACAGCCAGTGTGTTTCACCTCCTAAGAGTGGCCCTGCAAAATCTTTTTCATGCCTCTTTCAGCACCTCGGATATAACACAGACCACAAAGGACCACAGGAGGCTGCGTGGAGATGCCTCAGGGTACAGGGCTGGGTAACAAACCCCAGGGCCTGGCTCCATCAGGTGGCAAGGCACAGAGGAGGTCAGGACCAGCCGAAACACTGCAGCAGAGGGAACAGATCTGGGCTGACAGTACTGGCTGAGAAACACTCTTGTTTTAACACTCGAGTCATGGACCCAAAGCAGAAGAAGTTCTCCATCCTGCGCTCTGCAGGAGATCAGACTAAGCAGTCATAACAGTCCCTCCTACTTTTAAGAGCTATTAATCTCCTCACAGAACACAGCTGATTCCTGGCAAAGGTGCAAAAGCTCTTTCTCTGGGAAAATTTTCATCAGCACCAGGTAATTCCTAGCCAGCCAATTCGCTTCACTGTGCACTGTCTCCTGTCTTCTGCATGTCCAAGACTAAACCCCTTAAAAAAACAAACAGTGCAAACCAAGTTTGTTATTTGCCTTCAGAAAACACAGCCAGGGCCCCTGTGATAAACAGCAGGAGTAACGGGAAACATGCTCTGACACTCAGAACAGGGAAAGAAAATAAGTGGAAGGAACACGCAAACACCTGACAGCCCAGTAGGATGAATCAAATGCTGTGGCCCCAGTTCAAGCCCTGCACCTGACCCTGCTGAGCCTGGTGCTCGCCGTAAAATCTTTGTCTGCTTTCTCTGCCCACAGCCCTCCCAGAGGACCGGCGCTTGGCTGCTGCTCCCATCGCTCCCGGTGATGGGAGATGATTTTTATCCAAGAATAAACTCGAGGATTTGCAGATCCCCCCAGTGACGTCCCTTCTCCCAGGTGCCGAAGTTCAGCAAGTTCAGCAAGCACAAAGCACATCACTCATGCACAAACTAAAATCACCCCTGCTTCAGACATGCCCACAGCTCTTCCTTCTGCCCAAAACACAGCAAAATACACGCGTAAAGAAGTTACAAACCTGCAATCCCAGATTATCATTCCTTGGCCCGCCTCCCCATGCACAAACCTAACCCAACGACCAGCAGCACGACCCCTGACTTACGCTTTTGCATGCATGAGCAGAGCCAATGGGGAACTGCTGGCTGTAAGAGGGGATACTTACACACGCCCCCGATGACCCCGGCAATCCTGCAGAGCCACCTGTACCACCAGGTCATGCCATCATCAGCGGAGGAAGATGCTGGCTCAGGGGCTGCTGCTTGGAACTGCTCATCCTGAGAGCTCATGGCCTCACTGCTGCTGGGGGGTCAAAGGGCAGCTCCCCGCTCCCCACCTGAGCCCCAGCAGCACAGGATGCCCTTCTAGGTGACACCCCCCCGTCCAGCAGGACCAGGAGATGGCCCTTAACCCAGCCCTGCTGCTGCTGGACCTCTCCTCGCACCCCCATACAGGGCCGGCCCCCCCAGGGCTGACAATAGAGGGTTTCTGACCGCAGCGGCGATGCCAGCGGCCGTGGGAGCAGCCTCCACGTCTCCCTGCCTATTGCATTGTGGGTCCCCTCCTCCAGCAGGGAGGGCTTTGATGTCACACTCATTAAAAAGTCAGTGGGCAGAGCCCGCGTGTGCATATTCATTGGAAGCAGCAGCCTGGGCGGCATGCACACTGTGCTGGGAGCTGGATTGCTTGGGGCGGCCGCTCTGCGCAGGGCAAGGGCAGATGAGTGCATGGGAATGCAGCGGCAGCGAGCCCCAGCATCTCCTGCCAGCCATCAGGGGAAGCTCAGGACACACAAACCACTGCACGGAAGTTTGGTGTGGGCTGATAATGCAGCTCCTTTCCCCGCATCACAGAGGGAGGTGGTGAAGGTGCCTCATCTCTGAAAGTTGCCCCTGTCTGTTGCACCGTGCCTCAGCTGTGCAGCCAACGTGAGCACACAGCAGTCTGTGCTTTGCTCTTACCTCCAGCCTCACTCCCTTTCACCCCTCTGACGATCGAGCTTTTGCTTTGGGAGAAAGTGAAGTGATTTGGTCTGATGTCACACAGTAAAGCCAGTAGCAGAAGCCAGCTCCAGGTCCTGCCTCCCCTTTCTAACCACTAGATGTTATCCATCTACAAGCAAAGAGAAATATGATTTTCTGCACGAACATGAATTTCATGTGAACGTTGTTACAGAAATTGTGCCCTCAAGGCAAGACAGAACCACTCCCCTTAATCTGAATGGAGTTGGGTTTTTGCTCTAGAAACTGGGAGCTGAAGTAGGACTTTGCATATCCGAGATGTCCCAGTTGGCAACGTGCTGGCATCCAAACAGCTGGTACAGTGAGGCAGCATTAATTCTCTTAAATTATCAAGGCAACAGCTGCACATTTAGCAAATTAACATGGAGCACACAGCCAGTGATCAGAGCCCATCTCTGCAGAGCAGAAACTCTGCATAGTTGATCTGGAACAATAAACAGTAATGAGGCTTGGGATCCAGAGCAGAGGTGGAAGACAGATCCCATCTGCTAAAAGGTTACAAAAAAAGAATTAACACAAGGATTTTTTTTTTTTTTTCTGTTACTGTTACGTCTCTGGTTAGGCAGGAAATAAAGGCCCACTGCCTGTATCACCCACACACTGCAGTGGAACAGCTGATATATTCAGCTCCTCAAGGATCTTGCTTAAAGAATCTACTTTCAAGCTCTTGCAGGAATGGAACGTAAATCTGAAGGCTGGCAAGCAAAAAAACCAAACAAATCCAGGCAGAACTAACAAAAATAATCACTAAGAAGACAGAAGAAAATAAGGTTTTATGGTTGTAAAAAGACATCAGAGAATTCAATGAAAAGAAAGCAGAGGTAGCATTAAAATTGCCCAAGCAGAACAATTTATTGCATCTGTCATGAAGTGTAGAGGCAGGTATGTCCAGCCAGGCTCCAGGTTTGGAAAAAACCTCTTTTGTAGGATATTGGGATGTTGATGGGGATGATAGATTGGTACCAAAGTAGAGAACTGTAGAAAAGGTTAAAAACATTAAATAAAAAGAACTTTAAATATATATTTAAAGTCAATCTTCAGTGAATATTTGTTGCTGCTCTAAAGCACATCTTCCTGTTACGACTCATATCACACAGTTTCAACAGCCTCTCTTGACACAGTTCCTGTGGGATGCAGATACATGTAGATTATTAGCACAGCTACTGTTATTATCTGAAGAAATATCTCTAGGCATCAAACCCATCACTAAGAGACAGGATTCAATTTCCCACAGAGAAGAAGTACTAGCAGCAGTTAGATCTGTAAAAGCAGAATCATAGATGTGGTGGCTGGGGAGGGACCTCTGGATGTCATTTACTCCTCCCATGCAAAGCCAATTATCACCAGTACTTGACCAGGCCAACTGCTCTAGTTAACCAGGCCCACTGGTTAGCAAGTCCTGAAAATACTCCATGATGGAGATTCCATCAGCTTTTTAGGTGACTCTCCCTAGTGTTGCACTACCCTGCTGGGCAAAGAGTCTTGCCCTCATACACTTCTCGAGCTGCTAGGACTCAGGAGGATTCATCTTCTTACACATCTTTGCCTTCTTTTACATCTTCCAGAATTTCAATAGGCTTCATTTTCAATGGGCATTTACACTGCAGGAGAGTAAATTTCACTGTTAAATCATCATCATAACTACCTGTGGTATAGAGAGGTTTCTAAGCCACTGAGAAACGAAATGATTGTCCTAAAAAGTCACAGCATATAAACAGAAGCAGGACCTTGAGACCTCAGTGTCCAAGTTACGAATTTCAGACAAGTGAGATGCATTAATGCCAATTAACGTAGAAAATGTACATTAGAACTATTTGTGAACTATTTGGTGGTTACATGCTTTTGCACAAACTTTCTAAGTATTAACGGAGATCCCAACGGAGCCAGCAAACTGTTCTTACTCAGTAGATGAGGAAACAGCTGTAAAAGGTTAAATGATGTGTGTGACATCAAGCAGTGAACAGGCAGCAGTGATTAACTGGAGCACAGTCTTTCTCAGTGGAGTGGCCCTGATCCCTTTTATTTGGGTTCAGCAGCATGATATTCAGCCCAGAAACTGGTTTGGTGATCCTTAACGTTTTCATGAAATTCAATTTCAGCCTGGCTTCCTGTTGATTGCCAGAAGAATTGCTGTTTCCCACGGAACACCGTTGTCTTCATGGTGCTTACATCACGGATCTGCACGAGGAAAGACCAAACCATTATATCACAGCAGCCTACATCTCGAGTACCCACAAAACTGGGGTCTTGCCCATTGGTTACTCAGGGCAAAAGCTGCCCTATTCAAATGTTAGAGCAAAATATGGTAGAATTCAATATTGCTCACTCACACCTACATTTACACAATAGTCTGACCCTCCTGGGCTTTAAACTTGGCACTTGGATGGAAATCTCTAGTGAGCAGTTGGGTCCTCACCCATCTAAACCACCTCCTCTAGGTTTCCAACTCACCAGGATGTAATTAAAGTTTGTTTGGTTGCTCTGATGGCTCAGGTCAACATAGAGGCCTCGGATAGCTATGTGATGCTGAGGAGCCACATTGATGAAGGTTCGACACACCACCTCTTGTTTTCGACCAGGTGATTGAGTAGGATTCACTATTTCACCACGGGGACCAAACAGCTGCTTGTCACATTCTGATAGGGAACAGAAGAGAAAATGATTTAGTGGAAGTGTCCAGTATCTCCAGGAAAAAGATGTTTAAATCAAATGCAGACGGAAAACACTCTCTAAGGATTTTCATCTGGGAAACTCCAAGCATCAGTAAACACCTGCAGGGAGCTTGGCTTTAAAACAGAAAGGTTGTCCATAAACAATATCCATTCCAACACTCCTTGAAGAGGAGCTTATTAGCTCTCAGAGATGGAGCAAGGCTTCAATAGACTTCCATAGACAGACATGACCTGTGGAACTCTGCCACGGGCCCCTTGAATCTAAAGCAATAGTGAAGCTTCCAGTGAAGTACCTTGGTAATATCTTTTGGTTGCATTTCTGCTGTTGTACTGAAGAACGACCCCATTTCCTGGCAGCAGAACACGCTGTTTCACAATCAATGTATTTGTTCTGGAATTTATCAGAGACAAAATCAGCTTCCTGCAGCCCATCCGCCACATCATTCGTCCGGAAAACAGCACAACCTCACCTGGAATGGATGAGCACAGGGACTAGAAACACTTCTACTTTAAGTGAGACAGGTCTGAATGCCGTTCAGCCTCCCATATTACATGGGTCAAATCAAATAATTTCTGTGTCTTGTCCCTATCTCATGAAACAGTTAACTAATCTATCTGTACTGATTCCAACAAGAGGGTATACATTGCAGAGTTTGTAACAGGCCAAAGTAGGAAGCTTCTTTAACCCCATAAGGTACTTGAATCCCATACCTACCAGCAGAACAAAGAAGAGATCATCATGCATGGAGAGGAAAGATATCATTTTAAGTGAATCTTATCTGGCAAAGACTTTGTGAAACTGAAAAACTTGAAAAATGGTTTCAGAGATTATGCAGGCTCCATCCAAGATAGCAAGTACTACTCAGGGCACCAAAAGCATGCAGGAAAATGAGGTGCACATTTCCCAGCAATCCAAGCTAGTTCCCACTTAGCCCTGGGCAGCACCTGCACTGCAGTTGAGGGAGCTCTCCAGAACGTTGATTGTGATCTCCTCTCCTAGAGGACGTCCAATAGCAACAGTGCAGTCACTGCTCCCTGCACCCGTCATGTTGATGATCCCACTGGTATTAAGGAAGAGCTTTCCACAGATGCCTGTGCAACAGAGACAGATGAGAAACACATCCAGCTGTTAAAACACCGCACTCATTCTTCTCATGGCACTGTGAAGAGATGAGCACCAAGTATGTCCATCTTCTGAGTAAAGCACAGGAGGAGCCTGCTGCCCAAAGAGTCCCAAGTCAGGAGAGCCTTGGGAAGCCAACGGAAGGCTGTCATTGTTCCTGGCTTAGACAGCATGGAGAGTTCATGGCATGCTGTCCCCTTGAAGCAGGAGCATTCCCTTCTGTGCTCATGTTTCTGTATGCCCATAGGAACCCCATCATAAGCAGTTAGCACCCATCTGTACTTTTTGGTAGTTTTCTCCTCACCTTCACTGGTCTCCATCCGTTCCTGAGGGACAGCTGGCAGAGCAGATGAAGGAAGGATCAGGCCTTTGTATCTTGCCCCTTCAGCATTTGCAGTACTCATCAGATGCACGGCTGGTGTCACTGCCTGCCGTTCTGCTCCATGCAGCCTGGTGTCCATGCCCTGCTCAGGACAGGGCCCTGCAGAGCAGCCACGCAGCACAATGGCCTTGGGGAAGTGCCTGCAGAAGATGGGGCTCACGTGCTTGTGAGTTAGCCGGTTGAGGCAGAAATCGTGCCGCGTCTGAACACCGTTTCCACATGAAGTTGAACACTGCAGAGTAAGAAATCCATAGGTCTTTATGCACGCATTTCAGCTCGTATTCAGAAATAAATAACACTGGCTTGCTCAAGGACGATCCAGAGTTCTGATCTTTTGTT